AAGTTGAAAAACAGCTCCCATCTAACCTCTCGAAAAATGCAATTGAGAAAAGAATAGAAAGAGCAAGGAAAATTTATAACCTTTTTAGTAGTATAGATGAGGATAAAATTCAACGAGTGAAATCTTACTTAGCATTGAGAATTTCTAAATTAAGTTGGGATGAAATTGATGCTATAGAAGAGGAGTTTGAATAAGATCATCTTTACTGCGCCACAATCACATGACTTTGGTTGACCGATCGGTCAGTGAAACCAAAACAGCTAAAATACATTAAGCCACCAAAATTAATAAAAAATTTGTTTTAATAGTAGGCATTGATTATTTTAGAAATTACATATTTTTTGTGTATACTTGTTAAAAGATCAAATTTCATATTTTCTTATGAGGTTTTATTTGAGTGATTGTTTCAAAAATCACTTGCAAAATATATGAATATTGTAGACATATAATTTGTACAATTTATGCTAAAGAATTTTTGCAGGGTCTTGGCCTTACAAGGCTTATGCTTAATTTATTTGTAAGACGGGGGCACAAGTATATGGTGTCACATATTGGTTTGTATAGCAGAACCAGTGACGAAAGACATATAATAAAAAAATTTTAACCACGTATTTTTTTCTGTTAATAATATATAGTAATGAAAAATCAGAATAATATATTTACAAATAAAAACAAACAAAATTATATCGAAAAGTGGCATATCTTTAGAGGATGGATATAAGCGATGTGAATGTGATAATAAATAAAATATATGCAATGCTAACGCTAGAATTTGTTTTTTTCATGCATAAGTAGCCTAGCTCAATCATCTGGGGATCTGGTTTCACATATATAAATTAGGGAGATTCTTTGATAATTAAAGTAACCGGACATATATTTGTGTACAATTTTCCTTCTCTTCAAAGCAATATCGTTAAAATATTTAGTCACATAGAATTCTCACGTACCGGTAAAACCTGCAAAAATATTTCAATTAAAAAAAGGGAAAGACAAAATTTGAAGTTTGAAAACATTTACATATAGCGCAGTAAATACGTAATTTATTATTCAACTTATGTTTATCCCTGCTGTTTTGGTTATCCACTAACCTAATTTAATATTATCCGTTACCGCAGAAAATGCCCAACGACAATATAAGCGAGTTAACAGAGTATCCAAGTTCCATAGTTACGATGTGGGTGCTTCTTGAGGGGAAGGCGAGTGCCGTAGAAGTCGACGTTGACCAGAAAAATTATATGACCCGTAATTTCAACTTAGACCGTCTTAAACCTATTCTAAAAGAAGAATTCAGTGAACTTCAAGATGTTGCTCGGAGTGAAATCGAAATTTTCACCTATAATGATCGCACAAATCCGCTTCCACCAGACACCAATCTTAGTCTCTTATCCGAGAAAGTGACAGGTACATCGCCACTTGTCATTCGGTATCCGCTCTCAACATCGAATGGTAAGCCCGAACTTTTTTTTGTCTTTTCGCTCTTATATCATAATTGCTTGTACCATTTTTTACCCAATTTGCAGTCATTGTTCGTTGCAATCTTTCAACATCGTGGTTTAAGTCTAGTTTTCCACATACTAGTGGGCTTTGGTATCTTGTCCGTAACATTGCTAAATCAAAGTTCCAAACACTGCGATTGGAAACAGTCCAATTTAGTTTCATACATAATGAGAATAATGGCAAACAACAAATAGAAAATGAATTTCAGTTCAACAAAATGATATCAAAAATTAAGCCAAACTGTGAGGATGAACGTGAAGTCAGCATTTCAATCCAAGTAACAGGTAATGCCAATACTTTGAATATTGTTAGATTCAGCTTATATACATATCTACTCGCTTTTCATTTATAGGAAGGAAGGCATATGGCGATTGGGAAATTGGCGAGGCCCTAAATGAGTTCTTGCATCAAAAGGGTTCAACTATGTTCGATATTCGATCTTTTAGTATAGGTGATCTTCCGAGACCTAACCCTCCAATCCCTGAAGAGGCTATTGCCCAACTTATTGCTGAGCTTAAAAAAAGGAAGAGTGCATTTGGTATTGTCAATCGAAATGAATCGACTTGTCGAGAGTTTACCTCGCCTCTTATGTCCACAGCAGTCACCCATATCCAAGAAGAAGCAAAGGGTTATTACTTAAAGCCGAAGAGTGGATCGATGGGACAAAAGCCTATGGACCTATTGATTACTCGATTTTTATTGAAGAAGTGCTTGTTTTAGTCCAAGAAGTTAAGAAAGATGACTTCGAAAAAGGAACTGCGCAAAATATCGCACAGATTCATAGTGCCGTAGAGGTAGGTATTTGTTGTATTAACGTAATAATTATTTTTTTTACATTTACTCAACTGACATACTATATTAGTCACGCAAACGAAGAATTAAGATAGACCCGGGAGATGAAGAAGTTCCTGTTGTAATGTATGGAATCGTTACAAATGCATTACAATGGTATTTTCTTCGTTGGGCAGGTTCTTCAGATGATCCAACCGTTGAATTGTCCGGACCGCTTACTTGCGAATTCAATAGTAACAGTTTGGAACAAGTAAAAATAATTCTCAGCTGTATTGCTTCCATCCTCCAATATCAAGTCCGAGGATATGACGATGACTCAAAACGTACCCGTATTAAGAGGCATCGTACTAGTTAGATACAGTATTAGGTTTTTTTATGTGTTCTAAATTAACCATTTTTTATATGTATATCATGTTTTTTTGAACATTAACTGGTTGTTCACAAAGCGTTATTTTGAATGGTCAATAAAAATTTAAAGCAGATCTTATGTATATGGTATAGTGTTTTGTGATATTTTTGTTTTTATTCATTGGTCTTAATTTGCCATCAATTGGCACCTTATCATTGGTATATCAAATTACCTTAATCTCGCCAAAGGATATTTTGATTTCTCCGAAGTAGTAATCATTATTTGTTGTTGAAGGATCAGGTTAATATTGACAATTTTCCAGGACCAAGATTAAAAAAGATAATAGGGTAGATAGTTTCCGGCAGAAACGATTTCAGTATCTGCATCTGGCCCTGGTAGCAAATTTCACAAAAATAATCAGTTTACTTTTGCATGTGTATTTCATGAATTTATCCTGCCTTCATGCAGACAGTCCACAGATAATAGTATAGACGTCATGTATCGCGGGCTAGTCCCGAACATTTGTATTTATTTTTCGCATGTATTAATAAAAAGTTTTTTCTTGGCATTGTTCGCTGAAATTTCATTAGTTTACATTAACACAATAAAGAATTGAATATATCCATATTTTTATAAAATATAAAAAATGGCAAACAAACAATCCAAAGTTGATTCATTAGAAGAACGAATTTCCAAGCTTGTAGCTGAGAATGATATACTTAGACAGGAAAACACTGAGATCAAGTCTGAGAACATCAAACTTAAAACTGAGAATGCAAAATTAAAACAGGCTTTGAAAGAACATGAATCCAGATTTATGAAACTGGAGCAGAACAATAAAAATACTGCTTCGGAAAATGCCAAACTTAAAGCTAGGGTTGCGAAATTGGAACAGAAACAGTTACAAACTGACAAAGAAAAGAGCAACCATATTATATTACAAAGTAATGACTGTGCCAGCTTCACTGATGCCTTCACATCTAAATCAGATGATACCACCTCCATTGAAATGGAAAATTCTAATGATGCTTCTAAACAGACAAACTTACATTGTAATGAGTCAGAGACTTGTGGCTATACTATTGATACTCTTGCAATTAATATATCTGATAATACTTCAAATTCTGATGTATATCAGGAGCTTTCATCCCAATATTCTGCATCACCCGTCTGCACAAAGAGTAAGTCATTGGAAGACAAGAAAATAGATAAATTAGTAGATTCAATATATGAGAAACAGGCTATTAAAGAGATAATTCAGAGAATTAGGGAGAAGAAACTTTGGGAACAAGAATTATCCTCTATATTGGTTGAAGAATTATGTAGTGAAAAGGTGAGACCGAAAGTCCCACTTGAGCAAAACAGCAAATCGGTGCCGATATAGCCTGAAGAAACAAAAGTTTCGCATGATTATATAGTCGCCCAAGATTTTATTCAAGAAGTGTCTTCAGGGTTCACAGATAAGGAAATCATCGAAGTCGTTGATATACTCACTACCAATACAACAATAGAAGTTGAGCTAGCTTATTTGTTTCTAAAGTAAATATTGAAGGAAAAAATACTATACAAGCTAAACAGAAAGAAATTTCATGTCATTACTCATATAGAAAAAGATTTGAAATGGGAGTTCAAGAACTTATGGTAAAGGAAAACATTTCAGAACAGAAAATGATTATTCCAGGATATAATAAAACACCTTTCTGGATTAACTTTGGAAACTTTACGTAAAAGAACCCAAAGATCTATAAAACTTTACAAATTAATCAAAAAGATAGGAGTTGATAAGATTAAGAATATCAAGACATTCAGTGCAGATTCTATTTCAAAGTTTACACAACCTCAAATTTAAATAATTCTGGATTATTTTAATGAAGGTGAAAAAGTGAGACCAAAAGTCCCACTTGAGCAGAATGGCGTTGTCAATCATATATCTAATACAGATTCTACTAATATTATTAGCAGAGCTGACATGACCAAGAAGACCTCACCAATAGCTCAGGCAAGTGCACCATCTATATTTGAACCAGAAGTCGATGTAAGTATATCTCCTGTTTCTGTCAATTCGAAAACCAAGATAAGTGTGGGTTCTACATCTAAAACTGGAAAAAAAGCTTTATCCAAGAAGACCCTATCTGAAAAGCAAAATAATTCAGCATATACCTGTGGTTATTTTCGTAGCAAATTATTGGAGCAATATCCTGATTTATATAAAGAATGTAGTAGCGAAAATGTTGATTATTATGGGATTAATGCTGAATTACTATGTCCGATATGCAAGTTAATTCATGAGGATGAAGAAGGTATAGAAGCTGAATATAAAGATGGATCTTACTATATTAAATGTGAAGTATCTGAAATTGGCACTGTTATATCGGCTCGTACTAAACTAATTGTATAATTTTATCTGTTTATTATTACTATGCAATAAATATTAATGTAAGAAGCAGAGCTACTGAAATAGCATATACAGTATATTTAATATTTTTTTATACACATAAGTGCCTCCATTTCGTAGGCGATATCCAATGTAGAAATTTCAATTGACTTGTGATCTTATAAAATAACAACATGAGTGCGTTAAACTTACAAACCAAATCTGATAAAATCTCTATAAAGAAGGATACTTTGTGCCTAACCCCTGAATATTTAGATTGGCAGGCTAAATTAATTGAAATTTTAACAGATAATATTCATTCCAAGTTATATAAAAGATATAAAAAAGAAACTGGGTTCGACCTCTAGATAATGTCTGAAACCTTTGAGTCCCCACAAATCAAAAAGGATACCGAAAAAAAGACGTCATTTGTACCACAGATAAATGTTCAGCCTACACTATCCAAACTTCAACCATTAATTTCTGTTCTACCTAAAGACCCCGAAGAAAGGCAACAACATGTTATTGAAATGGTATTAGAACGATTTCCTTATTTAACTTTAAAACATAGTTTTAAATATAGTAATTATTTTAATTTTAATAGATCAGTACCCTGCCCTTTATGTGATAAAAACTATAAGAAAGAAATATAAGAAATTATATAGAGAGCGAATGGGAGAGTGGCGATTATGTCAATACAAAAACTTATCGTCTCTATTGTTATATAAATAAATATCAGAATTCAATCCCAATAGTAACCGTAAAAGCATAGGTTAATAAGTAAAGCCCATTCACACAATCGCATTAAAATAAAAGATGGCGAGGCCATAAGACCCCTCTTTATTTAATAAAACATTGTTGCCGGAGACAATATACAGATAAAATATTTTTATTATAAAATAAAAAAAAATAAAAAATACATGTATGTATCAAAGAGGGGTTTACATTTGATTATCCCTCTTTAGGGAATATGAGAAGGTGAATAGAACCATTTTCACTACATTGATGATCATTAATATACCTATTGTTAAAATACTCGGAAATTTTTTTATTTGATCTTATGAATTCACCTTTATCATTATGACTATTTACTGAAGAGATTAAGGAACGATTAGGTTAAAAAAAATCAACTTTGTACAGATCAAAATCTTTTTGAAATAAATTTGGTCGGGTACTTTTAATTTCGGTTTTTAGATTCTCAACATCCAAAGTCTTATCAACAGTTACCTAAAAATATCTTCAAGAGTCTCACCATGAATAAAACAGTTAAGGGTAATATTATCGTTGGTCTTGGAGGTGGTGTTATCATTAGTGCTCATTTTTTGTTCCTAAATACAAAAAACATAGTAAGTAAAAAAATCGTCTTCATAGACTGTATTAAACGGTAAATCCATTACTTTAAAAATAAACGGGCAAGTGGACCAAGTAAAAATATATATAAGCAAAAAATAATGTTATTACTAACTTAACTTAAGATGGAAACTTGCTTATTTTTATACTTCTTATTCATTAAATCTGGAGAACCCTGCCAGAACAAAATTACACAATTAGTAATTACGTTACCCTAACAAAATGCTAGATCACACCATGTAAAGCAAGTCTATTCGGTCATAACTTCCAAATACTGAATCTATTTTGTTATTTTTTTCTGGTAAAATTAACCCCCCTTAGATTTAACGATCTCTCCTGTGAAGTGAAAAAATTAACGATCTCAATGATCTCGGAGATGGCAAAGATTCGAAGCTTCTGTGACATATGAATTTTGATAAAACTACCGATAAAGAACATTATACTTATTATCCTTATAGCCTTTTTAAGTCTTATTCTTATCGCGGGATCGTATAAAGTAAGGAAAAGGGTCTAGTCATTATTCGTAATATTCGTTAATAAAAAAATCGA